GATTTCCGCCCGCCTGACTTCCTTCTGAATCTTCTTCCACCCGCAGTAGGGAGCATTTCGCTCACCAAAAGCGAGCCTGCCGAGATCGACAATTGTGAAACTCATATTCTCTCCAGAGTTGTATTTTCACTCGTGAATGAACACTGGCGTTGAGGAATAGCAAGATATATCAAGATGAGCAAGATACTCACCTTTCCTTGGTGCCACTCCTAGCTCGAGTCACAGCCGCTTCCTCAACTCTCGCCATCGGGGCTACATCGATTTTAGGGTGCAACATCTTTCTAATTTGCAATTTTCCGAAAACCGGGGGAGTTTCTGTAGTGGGGAGGTGCATGAGTGGATAAGACAGAAATCACTGATAATAACAGACGGTCCGACGCAAATATTTAATCCTGCCAGGATTATCCTGGAATACGAAATACTACAAAAAATATCTTCAATTCATTAACACATTCTCCTGTCAAAACAGCACTGTCATTGCGCCTCGATCGTCTCAACGGAAGAAGGGACAATAGCAACGTCACAGGAAGGTAATCAAAGCTTAGCTTTCTAACGAAGGCTTGCGTGGAAAATGTGTTCTGGTTTTTTACTAAAATTTTAAGATTCCTGAGCTCGACTGAAAATTTTTTAGTCGAGCTCAGGAATTTCCAATGCTACATTACACAGATTTACGCACGAAAAGAGGTCATAGTGTTTAAGAACCAGCAAGATTTGTCTCTCACCTCACCAACACACGTAGTTGCTCATATACCTATTTCTTCACACCACATGGGAGTATCTACAGTTAGAGCTAACCCATAGGAGATCGAACTGTCGGTAACCAGTGCCGCCAAAACTTGAAGTCTCACCTGAAGTGTTCATAGGCCCGTAAATAACATGAAAAATATAATTGGAATTCCGAACAAATGGAAGTAAACTGAGGCAACTTCAAGTTCGTCTTGTACAAGGCGACCGAGGAGTGTCATCGGGACAGTGCGCCCACCTAGGCTGAAGATGACGCTTCTACCACCCTTGTAGATGCGCCTCAGCTGCTGGAGTCACCATTCTCATCACCGATGACCCTACGATAAAGTTTCTTCATCCATACTGTTGGTCTCCGCGCACACTAATCAAAGGGGTTGTCATAACAGACAACGCATCCAGATGGATGGCGAGCCATGGAGAGAGCATAAACTCTCTCCGTGGTTCGATACATACTCCATACATACTGAATGTTTCCTGTTCGTATCGTTACCCAACTCCTCTGTAACAAACCTCATACGGAGGAGAAGATGGAGAAGAGTCAGAAGGAGTGTCCACTTGAAAAGAGTGAAGATTATAATCAGAAATATAGACCATGGGCGACTGATTTTCAGCTTAATGGCACCAATACCTTAACCGTCCACAAGCCTGCACATCTCTGCTCGACTGACTCTGATGATGGTGAGTCTGAGCGAACAACATCACCTAGCTAAAATTATGAGCGCCATTCTCATCGGGGGAGCTAGCCGTTTCTCACAGAGCCGTTTGCGAAAATACTGGAGCGAATGCCATTCGTGATTACGCTTCACAACTACCAGTTCCACAACACTAGAGTAGACAGATGGGAGTCTGAACACCAGATACGAACACCAGATCCATAGCTGATCATTCATCACCAACAGGTCGCCATCGCCATCTCTGATTGTGCACTTTATAATATTCACTAGGCTTGCTTACACTCGGCAATGCCAAGGTGTAGGCAAGAACGACTACTCTATATGCCGAGTCGGCATATAGAGGAGTCGTTTGATCTATCTGGTAGCCTCTACGCTTAATTCTGCACGCACGCACAACGCGAAAGTGCCTGTTGTTGCGGTACATGCTCCGCTCGCTTCGGAACTCGATAAGCAATAATTTCTCCGTGTCTTCAGCGACATCTCATCAATGGTTCACATCAGGCGGTTAAAAATGATCTCGCCGATAATCGAACCCGATACCTCCCCCACTCCAAACGCGAACCCTAACCACTAACGCACGAAACTACTTATAATATGGTCATCTATACCTATGATGAACTTATGATGAATCAACTGCTGTTACTCTACTCAATGCTCGAATGTCATATGAATAACTGCCGGCTCTTGCAACCCGAAGGCGGCGATCTGAAAATGATTAGGCGAACTCCCTTCACCGTTGAGGAATAGCAAGAGAGCAAGTATACCCTAGATGAGCCGACGAGGAGGAAATACAGAGAAGTGTAATGAGCATTATCTCATACTGTATCACCAACCCTCAAGGAACCATTCCTGAAATTTCACGTCTGACGATCTAAAACTATATATATTTCACAAGAATTTTTGCATAAAATCTGAACTTACACTGGACAAAAAATTTTACAAAATTTTCCCGGAAAAACTCCCAAGAAAATTAGAGCGGTTTCGCATCTCTCTACCTTCATTCACATCAACCAAGCAATAGCCTATCATAGTCAGATCCAAAAAAGGATCACATCATTGGGCGCCAAAACTTCGTGGAAAATTTTAGCATTTCCCGCAAAGAAAATTCCCGATTTTCATAAAATTCTGAATATTTACAAAATTTTCCTACGCGTCTTGAAATTTTTCCTCACGAATTTTATTATAAAAATTCATCTATAATCTAGACCGACATATACTCTTTCGTCAGCAATATCGCAGAATTCCTCAAACACAGCCTAAATCGACGGATTCGGCTGTGGATTTTTCGGATTTTTTCACTCACTTCATTCGGCGTTTTCATCGCATCCACATAGAGCAAACTCGGGGACATACGACTCGCCGGCGAGGACGGTTCTTCCACGCTCGTAGTGAACTTGAAGTCATCTTTCAAATCTGGCTTCCACCTAAGCCAACAACGACATTCCTCGATCAGCAGCAGCATCATCATCGTAATTCCCAAAATCCCAAACCGAAAACTTCAATGCCCACAATAGCGGAGGCCAATTCAACTCCATAAACACATATTTAAATACCAACAATAAAATTAACCTCATAGGACAACACGACGTAGTAAGATTTCCCTTAGCAAGATTTCCCATAGCGAAATTTCCCATAGCGAAATTTCCCATAGCGCAATTTCCCATAGTGATATTCCCCATAGCGAAATTTCCCATAGTGAGATTTCCCATAGTGAGATTTCCCATAGTTAGATTTCACATAGTTAGATTTCCCATAGTTAGATTTCCCATAGCGAAATTTCCCATAGTTAGATTTCACATAGTTAGATTTCTTATAGTTAGATTTGCCAAGATAAAGAATGATAGTTAGAATAAGAGAAAAGCCTTACTTCTTTGCCCAAGTCTCAAGTTGTATCTCCAATGGTTGATTCATCCAAAACTGACACTCATGAGGAGTGGGATCTTCATCATCTAGAAGACCGTGGAACTGACCAAAAACGGACCTATTTTGAATCTTACAAACATCAACCTAAGATACCCTACATAAATGTGGGAAAATATATGTGTCGGTGACCAGGGGCTCAGCCAGCTACAAAACGGCATACGCCTCCCGGAGTTTCACACCATAGGACATACGCCTTACAGTTTGCACGAAATTTACACGAACGTCGCAAGATTTGCTCATTGAATTTCGGGGGGAGGCATCTGCAAGGTTCTATCTAGCCCCTTCTTGTTCGTATGGTTCTCGAATCGAGAATATCGATGCCTTTGCTATCTTCAAGATAGTATCTTGATGGGTCGCGCTAGCGGGTTAACATCTTCCTCCTCCAAAGATGTTGGGAATCTAGAGAAAGGTGAGCGCAGTTGCCGGAAGCTCATGGGCCATGAGTCATGGCACAGAAATATCTCGATTGAATTGGAACACATCTCAAGTCAAAAACACATCAGCCACCGATCGGCGATCTGCCAGGAAAGGTAACGTTTCCAGCCCAGAACCCCAGTCAGTCTTCGAAGGGCAAGCATTTACCAGAAGTGAAGAAGACTCTACGTGATGAGTTTCCATTCTTAATGGGGACTGCATTGAAGCACTAGCTTCACAAAAGCACCAATGAGGTCACCGATATTGCGTGGTCAAAAAAGTTCTCCTTACGCTGAACAGCTGTTGAGTGACTCAATCAACTTGAGTTGATTGCGGTCCAAATCCTAGACTAAGTCTCAACTGCTGAGGGCACTTTGTTCCAATCTGGAACTATCAACGCCAAACTAAAGACTGCTAAAGCATAGCACTCCTTTAGACGTACGCTTATACGCCTGAGCAACCTTGGGCACTAGTACGCCCTACTACCTCCCGACACCCGGCTCTGTACGCCTAAAGGCGTACATTTGTACGCCTAGCTGAACCCCTGTCGGTGACAATATTAAAATTCTGATGAAACTTTCGGGGAAATTCTCTTTGATTTGTAAACACTTCTCCCCTAATTCGAATATAAGCTCCTGAGCTCAGGTAAGTAAAGCCACATATATTCCAACACTGCCCTACATAGAGTAAGCCTGGTTTAATGCCAGATTGCTGCAACGCCTTCAACTCAGCCGCTCTTCTTCCCAATTTCTTCCCTCGCATAGGAACCACTCCTACGTAAAAAGCGCTCGCCCACCTGATCGATTTACTCATCTACCATGCTTCTCCTCTTCGCTCAAGGCAGCTGCAATAGCGTCCGCATGGCGTTCCAAATCAGCTCTCTCGGTTTCGGAAATATCATCATGAACGACGACTTTACACGGATGAGGATCCTCATTTTCATCACTCGAAAAGTCCAGTTGAGGCGAGGAAGGAATAGACGACGCATCATCGTCCACCACCGCATCTGGGTAAAAAATTCCGAGTGCGAAGAATTCACATATATTTTCCAAAAATATTTCCCCCTACATAAACTAGCGTTGAGGAATTGCAAGATCCACCAAGATTTCAAGATGGCGTCCATCCTACCCTCGGCTGCAGCATCATCATGCCCATGAGCTTTCGAAATACTCTTCTTATCATCAGGTTCCTCACTTGCCGGATCTTCCTCTTCCTCATCTTGCTGGTTCTGCCTTTTCTCAACCTTATCCTCGACCGTAGAGGAATCTTCCAGCAAATCTTGCTCATCTTGCATTTCCTCAACGCTAGCCTCCTCACTTGATGCATTCCCTCCATCTTGCTCATCTTGCATTTCCTCAACGCTAGCCTCCTCACTTGATGCATTCCATCCATCTTGCTCCTCTTGCATTTCCTCAACGCTAGCCTCCTCACTCGATGCATTCCCTCCATCTTGCTCATCTTGCTCATCTTGCATTTCCTCAACGCTAGCCTCCTCACTCGATGCATTCCCTCCATCTTGCTCATCTTGCTCATCTTGCATTTCCGCAACGCTAGCCTCCTCACTCGATGCATTCCCTCCATCTTGCTCATCTTGCTCATCTTGCATTTCCTCAACGCTAGCCTCCTCACTCGATGCATTCCCTCCATCTTGCTCATCTTGCATCTCCTCAGCGCTAGCCTTCTCACTCGATGCATCTTCTCCATCTTGCTCATCTTGCATTTCCTCAACGCTATCCTCCTCCCCATCCATGGCATGCTCCCCCATCCCCTCTCCCTCCGACTCTGGAGTATCTTCCTCATGCCGAGTAGTAGACGAACAATCTTGCACTTCCTCAACAACTATCTCCTCAATCTCCACACAGACACCCTCATCTTGCTCATCTTGCATTTCCTCAACGCCCCTAGCCACCTCAGCTCCCTCATCTTCCGACCATAACCCTCCCTTTCCTCCCTCTCCATCTTGCCCATCTTGCTCATCTTGCATTTCCTCAACGCTCCACCTTCGTTTCGTCGCTGCTGTTGTCGGAGGTTCACTCGACACTCTCCTCCTCTTCTTCGCCGCGGGAGTACCTTGGAGTAAAAAATTACAGAAAAAATGCCGCCGCCAGGGATCGAACCCGCGAATCTCTTCTCCTCCACTTTCTCAACTTCCTCGTGTTTCCTTTTCGGTTTTTTGTCACTGCGCCACAAAATTATATCCATAAGTTTACGGAAAAACCCAGCTCGTGGCGGCGTAGTATTTTTCGGCCCTTCAGCTCCAAGAGCCGGAGTGGTATCAATCTGACATAAAACGTATCTTTCACCCTAAAGATACCTGCGCACGGCGAAGAAAACAAAGTGGGTAATCGAAAGGTCCCCGGTTCGATCCCGGCACCCTCCCCCACCTCTAAATCCGCTCCCTCTTGACTCGGCATATTCAGACTCGATAAAATCGATAACCTCCGCACTGAATCGGCAGAGGTGCTGACGTGGGGCTCCTCGGGCGGGGGGAAAGTCTGAAAAAAATAAAAATAATTTTAGCAAAAATGTTGCAGAAAATAAGAAAATTATGAGTTTTTTCCCAAATATCTACACTATATGGAAAAACACGCGATTTTCGGGAATTTTTCCAAATCTAACCGAAAATTTCGTCTCCCAACACAAATGAGCTGCTCACAATCAAGTTCCCTTTCTAGTCGCAAAAAATCCAAATTCAAAAATTTCTGGGAAAAAAAAACAAAATTTCTGAAATTCCAAAAAATTTTCCGAAAATTTTCTTCACTCACCATTTCAGGTTTTTCACAAGCTACCAACCATGGTGCCATGAAGGCCAGTGGGGCCTTCTTAGAAGTGTATAGTTTCATAGGGGGAAGCTCCCTGTCCTGAGAACGCTCAGTATATGATGGTGCCGTTGAAGTCGACAATGTCCTCATTTACCAATAGAAATACTAGGGGAAAAAATCATGCTTCGCTCCGCTAAGAAAAAAACACATCTTTTTTCGAGACAAAAATAGCGGTTATTAAGAATAGTAATCAAAGGCACAATAGTAGCATAAGACTTTCACGCGCCACAAAATTATATGTCAGCTTTCGGCATCACGATGTCGACTTTTCCCGTATCCATCTGGCTCGGCAGAAGACCCCCATTGGGCGTAGACGCACCAGAAGACTGGAAAAAAATAAATTTTCCGGAAAATTTCCCGAAAATTTTCCGCAAATTTTCCCAATGCAACCTTACCGCCCGCATCAGTTGACGATGGGCTTGCATTCGTGTACTTACGCGCCTGGCAATTGTACGGATTGCCGATCCCGGCATGCTCTCCATCGACGGTGCAGCTCTGAAAAAAAGAAGAAAATTTTTTCCCGGAAAAAAAATTACAATTTTTACTCAGGTAGAAGTGGTTGAGCTAAATCCATTGGACTTGCAGACCCTCCCAATGCTCGACGAGACGACGCTGATGTCCACGAACGGCTATACGTCGGCGATTCGAGAATCTAAGCACCCCGGTTCGATCCCTGGTGACGGCATTTTACTCACTTTTTTCGCCAAAAATTCGAGCTCGTCCACCAAGTCCTCTCCATGGGCCAGCATACATATACGCGCCGATTTTATAACTAGGGGAATAATTTCGTGGCGCGTGACGGAAAATTTCCCACCAGTCAAAAGAAAATTATCGCTCTCTGCACCTTCTGCATCTTGCGTCGGGAAACTCTCAAACGTATCTTCACTCTGACACACAAACCACACAAAATAATTACGAGAAAAAATGCAACATGCCGGGATCGAACCTGCGCCCCACCACCCACCTCCTCAACCAAGACACTTTCCTCTGAGGATCGATAA